TTCAGGGTTTCAGGGTTTCAGGGTCTCAGGGTTTCAGGGTTTCAGGGTTTCAGGGTTTCAGGGTTTAGGGTTTAGGGTTTAGGGTTTCAGGGTTTAGGGTTTCAGGGTTTAGGGTTTGGGGTTAGGGGGCTCCTTTAAAGAAAGGCAGCCTCTTTTAAGGGTTGCTTTGGGGATGTTTGAAGGGCTCTTTTCAGGGTTTCTTTAGGTTCCTTATTAAGGGTAAGGGTTTCCTTGGGAGTTCCTTGGTTTCTGGAAGGCTTCGTTGCAGTTCTTGGTTGATGTGTGTTTACGGCCAGGGTGTTATTTTCTTAAGTTTTTATTGGAAATGTAGACAGGGAGGCCCATTCCTCACTTTACCTCCCGATGCCGCCCTGCAAAAAACACAAAAACCTTCTAAACCCCTAAGCCCTAAACCCAAAACCCTCAACCCTAAACCAAACCCTAAACCCCAGACGCCAACCCGATGACCTTTCTCTGCATTTAATTAGCATCTCTCGGACAAAATCCTGCAATGCCGAAAGACAAAGGTCCTAAGTACCTACATGGGGGGATACTCACCCAAATCAACGTTGTAATTCCCATTCCTTATTAAACTTTTCTACTATGTAGCTACTCGGGAGCTTTTGGGTGAAGCACTTCATCCTTCCTAAGTCCCATGAGCCTTTAAGCAACGTTTAGGGGTTTAGGGTTTAGGGTTTAGGGTTTAGGGTTTAGGGTGGGAAGTTCTCCACCGAGGCATCTTCAAGTGGATTCCGCCCGGTGGGTCTCAGACTGTCGTGGCACCCCCAGCCGAAAGGTTCATGGGACTTAAGAACTAGGGTTATGAATACGGTAACTATAAGACATTGCTTATAACCTAAACCCTAAACTCCAAACCCTAAACCCTAACCACCAGCTCAGGTACTTACAACTGTGCTTACTAAGTCCCATGAACTTCCAATCCAAGCAGCCTTTCTTGAGGGGCTTCCGGGTGAATGGGACTTGGCCTTCTGAGATTTCCGGGCGAGTACTTTGTGGGCTTTTGGGCCGAGTCAAATGTCTTTAGCAACCCTAGGACCTTCGTTGCTATTTTTTATCTTTACTCGTATAACGAAGGTGTTGCATGTAGCATATTACCTCTTTTATGTTTCTGACGGCGCTTGGGGTGAACTATTGAAGTCGGAGCGCTTGCGTCACAGTGTCCAGTATCCCTTAAATCGTCCCTACAGTATTAAGTGATGCTAGCATAGGCTAAACCCTAAACCCTAAAGCCTAAACCCGAATAGGCCCCTTAGACAGTATTCTAAACTCACGGTTCCGTTGTTCGCGCCTTCGGCATATGTTTCGGGACTGGTCTGAGGCCGCTCCTTCTAAGAGTACTTACGGTTGTCCGCTGATCTGTACTTTGAGACACTCCAGCCCTTCGATACACTCTAGCATAGAAGCCAGAATTTAAAAAAAAGTAATACTATTCCTTCGGCTCCTTTGTTGTTGCCTGTATGCCATTCATCTAACACACGCCAGCGATTCAGACCCCGACATGATTCCTTCCTCAACCTTCTTTAGAGAACGTCGTGTTTGACTTGGGGTCTGCTGATTTTAAAAAAGAGAAGCAGGTAGCATCGCGGAGATCGGGCTGAGGGCTCGGGACGCTCGTCATGCCACGTTCAAGAGGATGTCATGTCCGATGAGCAGTCTGTGTACTATAGAGGCCTAGATAATTACCTGCACTACTTTGGGGGGGCTCCTTATTAGAATTAGAGTATAGTGGACTCCAAAACCCTATTCTAATTCTTAAGGCTCCTGCATTATCCCTTTCGGGGCTTAGGAGTCTGAGGAGTCCTTCTTTTCCGTTTCAGGTTCCTTCCCAGATCCCTCGCTTCTCCCAAACTTGCAGTTTCCGCCTGATGGCGAATCCCCTTGATCCCAGACCCCCGGGAGGATCCAAAAAGTAGATCCCTCAATGGCGGTTCCTATAAAGAGCCCTTAGTAGTTTGGGGTCCCAAATTAGGGGTTCTACTTTCTAGATCCTCCCGGGGGTCTGGGATAGCTGCGGCCGCACGAAGCCCCGAGGGTTTAGGGTTCAGGGTTTACAGGTTTCCGGCTTCAGGACTAGACCCTAAACCCTAAACCCCCCACCCCTAAACCCTAAACCCCCCACCCCTAAACCCTCAACCCTAAACCCCCCACCCCTAAACCCTGAACCCTAAAACCCCACGTTCCTGAACTTTCGAGGTCCCCAGCTCGGCGCTGGTGCCTCAGCAGGAGGTTCCCGCATCCTATAAGACTCTTGGACCAAAGGAAGAAGGCAGTTCAGGTCCTTCTTTTCAGGGTTTAGGGTTTAAGGCTTTGGGTTTAGGGTTTAGGGTTTAATGCTTTCGGATTCGGATCATGTAGCTCAGGGTTTTGAGGGTGCTGGGTAGCTTAAGTGGGGTTTGGAGTTTAGGGCGCTGCACTCTCAGATTCATTTCGAAACTGTCGAGACACAATGAGATGTTCTTCCATCTGATCTGTCTGGTTCTGCCGCATCCACCAAGGAAGTCACGTGGAGTGACGTGCGCCGCTGGGCAGCAATTGGTCACCCTCAGCCCTAAACTCTTCAACCCTATAGGCCCTAACACATTAAGCCCTAACCCCTACACCCTAAACCCTTATAGCCCCAAATGACCCTAAACCCATAAACCTTAGGCCCGAAAACCTAAATCCGGAACTCAAAGCCGAACGTTCCAAGACCCGGAACTGAGCGGCTGGGTATGCAGTGCCAGGCCGCATCGCCCCACAGCCGTGAACCCTGGCACCTTCCACCGCCTGCCTTAACCCGTACGCACTAACCTTTGTCATAGTTGGTTGGATTACATTCACTTGACATGTATGATAGTATCTCAACCATGGACTAGTAAACCCCAAGCCCCAGACTTCACAAGCGGCAAAGAAACCAGGAAACAGAGGGCGATGCTCAGCTTCAGAGCGACTCAACCGTAAACCCCAAAGCCCCCAATAAAGTTTATAAAGCCCTAAACCCTAAAGCACAAGCCTCAGAGCGAGGTGAGCAACACGGATATCACGCAGACGAAAGATGCCTCGCACTGCCCAGTCGTCAACAGCTGGCCTGACAAGGCCTTCAGCGGGAATTCATTCGATGTTAGGGTTCACGGTTTTGGGTCTGGGGTCAAGATCGTGTTGCTCAGGGTTTGTAGCTTAAGGGCATCATTGAGTTACGCATGAAGTTTCCAACCTTTCTTGATGAGAGCAGTGGGGATTTCGTTTCTCAGTGTGGATCTGTTTAAATGTCAGTTTGCGGTGCGTCAGTGTATTGCTGAGAGGTTGACGCGGCTCAGGGGACGTGTAAAGTCTCAGGTGTTCTGGGGCTTGGTATAGATGTCACAATAACTGTCAACCCTAAACGCTCTACAACCTAAGCCCTAAACCTGTTGCCCTAACCTGAAGCTCCATCCCCACTAGGCCCGAAGCTCCCATTCAGTAACCCTTAGAGTAGGCCTTGTAGAAACCCTTAGTAACCCTCAGCCCTAAAGTCCCTGAGCCCGAAGAGCCTTGACCTCTAACCCCTCAACCCAAAACCAAGAAGCCCCAAGCCGCAGACCCTAAACCCTAAACCCGAAACCCTAAACCCTAAACCCTAAGCCCTAAGCCTTAAACCCTAAACCCTATAAGCCCTAAACCCTAAACCCGGAACGCTAAACCCTAAGCCCTAAGCCCTAAACCCTAAACCCGAAACCCGAAACCCTAAACCCTAAGCCCTAAGCCCTAAACCCGAAACCCGAAACCCTAAACCCTAAACCCTAAACCGGAAACCCGAAACCCTAAACCCTAAGCGCTTACCGCCCAAGCTTTGAAAGAAGCAGAGGCTGCCTTCCCCCACCCCAGCAGCAACCGTGCAGCCGAGAAGGCTACCGGCGGGCGGACCTGAAGGGCTTCAGGGACGTGTCTAAGGGTTTAGGGTTCAGGGTTTAGGGTTTAGGGGGCTGTGGGTTTAGGGTTTAGGGTTTAGGTCCCAGGGTTTTAGGGTTTAGGGTGTCAAGGCAGTCGAAGAATTCTATTCTGCCGCAAAGGACTTTGTAGGTTCGGTCTTCCAATTCGGCCTCTATTTTTCCATGCTATCGTCGCCAGTTTTTTGGTTTAGGGTGTGGGTGTGAGTGTGCGTGCGCGCTTGTTTGGTTTTTGCTTGTGACGCTTGTGTATTTTCTCTGGTTTGCAACCATCCAGGCTCCAGTGGCTATCGAGGTGTGCGGCGAGGACGAGGCACGGCCTACGCTGTCTACATCTTAAGCCCAGAATTTTGGAGTTAGGCCATTATAGGCTTTGGGGGCACTTTGGAGTCTAGCAGGGCTTCCGAGTCAGGGCGTCAGGGTTAGATTTTTGGTTGGCTTCGGGATCTGCACGATGATCATGAGCCACATCCCGTCAGACAAATCTTACATGTCTGTTTCCCTAGGCGACCTGCACCGCAGCTTTCTGCCACGGCCACGGCACGGCTGCGGAGGTGGGCTTCTGTAGGCTTTAGAGCTTAGCATTTCGGGAAGCTTAGGGTGAGGGTCTTGAAGGCCTGTGGGCTTTCGGGGTCTTGCATGCGTCTTGGTTTAGGGCTTCATTTGTCGGGCTCAAGAGAGCACCATGGTTCTGCTTTGAACTCGATAGCGTTTTGGGGGGTTTCTCTTTGATGTGCCTTTTGTCAGAGAGCTCGTCAACCATGAAGCACGCTCGTTTCATCAAGATTGACACCGTTGTTGATTCATCTTTCGGTTTTCGCACTTCAATTGCATGTTGACACACCTGTCCATTCGGAATCGCGCGCCTGATGGAAGTGAAACCTGCGAGCAAGCGAAGACGCATGTCGGATACCGGCACCTTTCAGCCCCAGACTTCGCACCCCAAAGTTGTTCATGTATCGTGACTCTCAACCAATGGTGGGGCCTCGTATTGAGAACTGCGCAGTTGTCACAAGAAACTGCGTATAGTAAACCCCAAAGCCCTAAACCTTCAAATCCTTAAGCCTGAAGCCGTTCATCCCAACGCCCCCTGAAGAGGTGGGTGGCACCTGTACCTGCAGCTGCCGCTGGATTGAAGCTTTAGGGTTTGGGGCTTGTAGGGTTTAGGGTTGGCTTCCGGTGGTTGGCTGGTCCGCAAATCCCCAGATAAAGTGTGATCCAGACATGGACAGTATTGTTTCTATGGGTTTTTGCGGCCTTAGGCCGTAAACCCTAAACGGGTTTAGGGGTTTACGGGTTTAGGGCTTTTACTAAACCCTAAACCGTATAATGCTTAGTAGTTATAGGGCTTGGGTGCCCTAAACCCTAAACCCTAAAACCCTAAACCCTAAGCACCCTGAAGCTCTAAAACCCTAGGCTCTGAACCCTGAAACCCTAAAACCCCAAAGCCCCAAACCCTAAGCTCTTAACCCTGGGTTCCTTCAACTTCAGCGCCCTGAAGCTTTCTAAACTCTTGGCGCTTGAGAATTATGGGTTTACGGTCTAGGGGTTTAGGGTTTAGGGTTTTAGGGGTTTTAGGGGTTTTAGGGGTTTTAGGGGTTTAGGGTTTAAGGGTTTACGGTTTAGGAAGTTTAGGAGTGTAGGAGTTTAGGAGTTTAGGGGTCTTGGGGTTCATCAGGGTTGGTTTATGTGTGGTAGGGGGCTGAGTTTCCGAGTGTCAAAACCTTGAACGAATGCACGAAACCCAAACCCTGTCCGACCTAACTTGTTCAACATATCAGGTCTACGCTGCCTTACAAAGTCGGTATATTCTTTAGTTTGATCGAAGGCACCGTAGAGTCCTTATTACATGTCTTTGTCGTGACTTATATAAGGTAGTATAAACCCTAAACCCTAAACCCTAAACCCAGGTATATTCCTTAATACGCTTGATGGACACAATCCTGCATGACCCTATATACCTAAACTGTGGGATTTATGGTGCCATACTATACTTGGGTGATGCAGGATTTTGTCCATCAGCAGTATCACTCCCAGAACCCTAAATAGGGATTTGGTAGTCTCTGGACTCCCCAGGCTCCACCGGCTACGAGGGCGATCGCTGCGAGATGTGCATCCCCGGATACGAAGGCAGAGCCGGGTTTTAGGGGCTTTTGGGGCTTTGGGGGTTCGAGGGTTTAGGTTCTTGGGATTTCAGGGTTTCGGTGTTCGACTTTAGGGTTTCGGGGTCTATGGCTTAGTCGTTTAGGGTTTTATGTGAGGCGGGCAGCTTCAGAAGCTTCGGGTTCCATACACCAGGTAATATAGATGCCTCAAAAAATTAGAATAGGGGTTTGGGGCCCACTCTACTAAATTAATATAGGTAACTATAAGGCCCCTACCGTAGAACCCTTTCTTAAGCCTCCAGCTCTTCCAAAACGGACACTTCATCCCAGGGCCTTCAGTGGGCTCTCTCTTCTGAGGGTCGCTACGCCTATGCGGACAATTCGGCTTTGTCTCAGGCGCCCTAAACCGTAAACCCTAAACCCCTAAAAAAACCC